TCACTTTGTTGCCCAGGCTAGAGTGAGTGCCATGGCTTCAGCCTGGCTCACAGCAACCTCAATCTCCAGGGCTCAGCGATCCTACTGCCTCAGCCTCCCGAGTAGCTGGGACTACAGGCATGCACCACCATGCCAGGCTAATTTTTTGTATATATATCTTAGTTGGTCAATTAATTTATTCTATTTTGGTAAAGACGGGGTCTCGCTCAGGCTGGTTTCGAACTCCTGACCTTGAGCAATCCGCCCGCCTCGGCCTCCCAAAGTGCTAGGATTACAGGCGTGAGCCACCACGCCCGGCCTCTCACTTTTCTTCTGCTTGGCAGAAAGTCTGTCGCAGGAAAACTGGTCACCCAGAACCCTTGTCCAGGGGGAGGGGACGTACTCACAGGAAAGTGGCTGGCCAGGAACTTCCAGTCCTGCTGTCCGAACTGCCTCACCAGGGCCCTCAGCTGCTCGTCCTGCCAGCACCAGAGAGACAGAGGGCTCAGCCCGCACGCGCGCAGACAGCCTCGCTGCTGCTGGTGGCTGCGCCCTCTCCAAACGGATCAGCCTCCTGCACGCATTCAGTCGTGAAGTGAGCACCCACTATGTGCTGGGCAGAGTGCCAGGCGCTGCAGTCACAGCAGTGGGCAGCAAGGGAGCTGCCCCTGGCCTCAAGGGGCTTGTGGTCTAGAGCAAAGCAGATGCTAATCAAAGGCTCACATGAAGAAAAGCAAAGCAACCCGGGCTGGGGGACATGGGGTGACTGCCTATAGAGGGAGACCAAGGGACAGGCTCCAATTAAATGCAGCATAGCTAGAATGCAGGAGGGAGGGAATGGCAGGGGCCAGACCACATGTACAGCCCAGGCCTCCACATCACGCAGAGCCACTGGTGTGTTTCAGTAGTGGGCGGTCACAGCCCACTTGTCACCAAGTTCCCTACAGGCTGGGAAAGGGCTTGAAAGACAGCAGAGTGAGCGTCAGGAAGCCACGGCTGCACCCTGGCTGGAGCTGGCAGTGATTCACTTGTGCAGACGGGCAGACCTGGGCAGAATCAAGAGTAGTTGGAAGGCAAAATAGTATCTGTCAAATCGGCCTCCTAAAAATGAACCAATTCATGCAACAAAAATCTCAGTATCATTACGATGAGTGAAAAGAAGCCAGACCGAAAAGGGTACACACTGCATGATTCCATGCAAATGAAATTCTAGAAAAATAAGCTAAGCCACAGGGACAAAAAGGTGGTCAGCAGTTGTCTGAGAAGGATGGACAGCAAAGGGGGACAAGGAATGTTTTGGGGTGATGGAAACGGTTCTACAGCCTCATAGAGCTGGTAGTTTCATGGCTGTATACACACATCTGTTGAAAATCACAGAATTGTATTATAAACAGGTAGTTGACTGTACATAAAGTATTCCTTGAATTGATGTGTTTTAATTCAATATGTAGACAAACAAAATGCGATCTATACATACAATGGAATATTAGAGAAATCCTGACACAGGCCACACGGATGCACCTTGAGGACATTGTGCTCAGCGAAATAAGCCAGTCACAGAAGGATGAATACTGTACGATTCCACTCCTGTGCATACCTAAAGCCAGGTGTCCTCAAACTATGGCCTGTGGGCCACATGTGAGCTGCCTAGCACATTTATCCAGCACTCCGGGTGTTTTTGCCGCTTCTGCCTGTCCTTAGCAGCCGACTTGGCCCGGGGCCACAGTGCGCACTCTCCAACGGCCTGAGGGACAGTGAACTAGCTGCCTGTTTAAAAAGTTTGAGGACCCCTGCCTAAAGCAGACAACATCACAGACACAGAAAGGACAAAGGTGGCTGCTGAGGGTTGGGGGAAGGGGGGAGAGGGAATCAGTGTTTAATGTGTACAGTTTCAGTTTTCAAAGACGAAAAAGTTCTAGAGCTCTGTTGCACAACAATGGGAAAATACTTAAACACTATCGAAATGTACACTTAATGATGGGCAAAAGGGTAGATTTAAAGTCATGTGGTTTTTGTCAGACACAAAAAAATTTGTGCACATACATATACATGCTCCGGGACAGAAAAATTGGCCACCACATGGCTGCCACAGGAATCCAGGCCCTCAACTACAGCTTGGCCAGAGTGCAGCCCAGGCTGGGCAAAGTCCCCATAAATCCTTCAGGTGAGACAGCCCACAGCCACATGGCCACCCTTGGCCAGCCCAGGACACCCCTCACCCTGCCCAGGCCAGGCCCATACTGCTTTCCTCCACTCCCCACCCCCGCCCACATCCACTCCAACGCCATCGCCCTGACAGCTGGCAGGGGCACTGCTGTTCACAATCTCCAACCCTTCCCACTGTCCCCAACCTCCTCTGCCTCTCACCTCCACTTTTTGCACTGCCCAACTCTCTCTCTACTGCCACCTCCTCTCCCTGATACCGGTCTCCAAGCCCCAGCCTGCCCCAAATCTGTCATCTATGCCCCACTTAGATTAGCTCCCCTGAGGCCTGAAAACCTTCCCTGGCTCTGCACTGACAGCAGCACAATCCTATAGCTTCTGAGTCCCACATTCATGGCTCTCCAGGAATTGGCCCCAATCTGTCTTCTGCCTACATCAACCACTTTTCCCCTTCGAGGACCTGTCCCTCCACCTGTCCCTCCACCCTTGTCCTGGCTCTTCTCCACCTACAACCTATTGCCTACTCTGACTCACCTGCCTTTCTGCAGTTTGTCTTTCCTCACTGCTGAATTTCCAAATCCTCATCCTCAGCTCAAAGACCACTTTCTCCAAGAAACTGTCCCTAACCTCTTCAGGCAACAGTAATCTCTCCTTCTACAGGTATTCACCATCCACTCATCCAACGAACAATTACTGGTTGCTTCCTATGTGCTAGGTGCCTTACTGCAGACGGCAGGGACACACCGGTGAACATAAACGGACACCGATCCAGCCTGGGCAGGGGACAACCACAGCGCATTCCAAGGACCCGTGCACCGTCTCCTTATCTCTGTCCACCCCAGGCGGAGAGCTGCTATGGGGTAGGAACCAGGTCTTGTTTATTCTTCTAAGCTACAACAGCCACACACAGAGCCTGGTTCACAGTGGGAGGAGCAGAAAATGTTTGCTTAGCACTTGTCTGAAGAAACATCTTTAATGATTTCAGAGGGTTTCACCACTTGATTACCAAGTTAAAAAAAAAAACAGATCTAAAATTAAACACATCAAGGAAAATTGAGGTAGAATAAAAAGGCCAGGAGGAGTCTAAAATGGTACAGCCGAATGGTATAACCAATTAAGAGAAGGGTTTCAGTTTCTTCTTTTATTTATTTATTTTCTTGAGACTGAGTCTCACTCTGTTGCCCCAGCTAGAGTGCCATGGCGCCAGCCTAGCTCACTGCAACCTCTAACTCCTGGGCTCAAGCGATCCTCCTGCCTCAGCCTCTAGGGTAGCTGGAACTACAGGCACGCACCACCATGCCCAGCTAATTTTTCTGTTTTTGACCAAGAGCGTAGTCTCCCTCTTGCTCAGGCTGGTCTTGAACTCCTGAGTTCAAACGATCCTCCCCCGCCTCGGCCTCCCAGAGTGCTAGGATTACAAGTGTGAGCCACCGCACCCGGCCGGGTTTCAGTTTCTATAAAATTAAACATACACCTTTCCCATGACCATACCTAATTATTTTCCCAAAAGAAATGAAAATATTCATCTGCAAAAAGACATAGGAGGAACGATAGCTAAAAACTAGAAACAGTCTGAATGTCTATCAACAGTTAAAATATATTGGTAATCCCCCCAATGGAGTACTACCCAGCAATGAAAATGGACCAATTACTGAATCACCCGACAGTATGGTGAGCAAAAGCAGCCAGATACAAAAGAACAGAACCATATGATTTCATCTGCAGGACACTCAAGCATGGGCAAACAAATTGAACCGAGGGGCGTTACATCAGCACTTGCCTGGCGCTGGGGCAGCCCGACCACAGAGGGCCACAGTGGACTTGTTGGGATAACCAGGGTGGTGCTAAGTGGGTATATGCACCTGCCAAAACTGATCCATCTGCTCACCTTAAAAGGGGGCACTTGACTGCATATGAATTATACGTCAATAAAGTTGATTAAAGAATAAAAAGATGTGGCTAGCACAAAATTCAATTCAGAGCTTGATGTCACCAAATTAAATATAATTAAATTTCTTAAAAAAGAAAAGGAGGGGTTTGCAGGTCTGGCTGAACCCCTTGGCAGTCAAAAGGCAAGAAACATAATTGGCGTCGATGTTGCAGAACACACCAGCTTCTTGGGAGACAAGTGCTGGCCCTGAGGTCTGAGACACACATTCTCCCCTGAGCCCTCAGAACTGAGTCCCCAAGAAAGCTCTGAGAAGCAGCATCGGGAAGAACCAGAGGACCCATCCACCTCTTTCACTGGCCCCTCCCCTTCACCTCATCTGTCAGAGCATCAGGCAGACCCCCCAGGCTCAGGTCGCTAGCCAGCCTCCCCACTGCACAGAGTCACCATGCCACTCACCTCCTCGTGGGTCCATTTGACCTTGCACTTGCTGTCCCTCTGCTCTGGCACATCTGAATCTGTGTCCTGGTAGTGCAGCTCATCCAGCTCCTCACTACAGGGAAAGCAAGGTAAAGGTCAAGGACAGTGTGTCCTCCTGCTTTTATGTTATGGATAGAGAGTACGTGGGCAGTGGCCAGCCAACTCTATGGGATGGTTTGGGAGAGGC